TTTTTGTTTTTTATTGTATGTCTCTATGCACTTGTTGAATGCCTGTGGAAGCCAGGAGAAGATATCAGATTCTTTGTAGCTGGAGTTACATGGGGCTGTCAGCCATGCAGTGTGGGTGCTGGGAGCTGAACTCAGGTCTTAGAGAAGAGCAGCAAGCAAACACTTTTTGTTTTGCTTGTTTTTTGAGACAGGGTCTCTGTTTTGTAGCTCTGGCTATTCTGGAATCGGCTGTGTAGACCAAGCTGATCCACCTGCCTGTGTCTCCTGAGTGCTGGGATTAAAGGTGTGAGCCATGACATCCACTTGATTAGCAAGCACTCTTAACCATTGAGCCTCCCTTTCCCCACCCCTGAGACAGGGTTTCTCCCTGAGGCCTTGGTTGTCCTGGACTCGCTTTTGTAGACCAGACTGGCCTTGATCTCACAGAGATCTGCCTGCCTCTGCCTCCTTGAGTCCACTACTATGCCCAGCTAAAAGGCCATTGATGTATTTTTGTTGTTGTTGTTTTTCCAGACAGGGTTCTTCTGTGTAGCATTGGCTGTCCTGGAACTCACTTTAAGGACCAGGCGGTCCTCAAACTCAGAGATCCTCCTGTCTCTGTCTCTGTCTCCTGAATGCCAGGATTAAAGGTGTGTACCACTATCACCCGGCCCACTGAGCCATTTCTTCAGCCCTTTTTATTCTATTTTTATTTTTGTGGGTGTATTTGTATTTGTTCACTTTGTGTGTGTCAGTGTTCAATTGTGTGCTAGTGCCTGGGCATACACACTTGTCATGGCAGCTTATAAAAATTCACTTTTCTTCTCTTACCATGGGGGTAATTTGAACTCAGGTTAGACTCAGCAACGAGTGCCTTTACCTACTGAGCCATCTTTCCTGTCCCCTCACTCCAACCCCTATTTTTGAGATTCTTGCTCTAGCTCTCTGTTCCCACTCTCTTGAGTAGTGGAATTTCAGGTGTGCAATACCATACCTAGCCCTAAATTTTGTCTTTTAAATATTAATATATTTATATCTTCCTGTAGTATGTGTCTATAGGTTGCATGTAGAGGCTGAGGATGGTGTTTCTTTGGTTTTTCTTCACTTTATTCTTTGAGATAGGGTCTCACAAAATCTGGACCTTGTGATCCAGCTAGACTGACCAGCCATCAAGCCCCTCAGATACTGCTCTCATTGTCAGGGTTACAGATGGGTACTGCTATGTCCAACTTTGACATGAGTGCTGAGGATTGAAACTTGTTTTGTTTGTTTTGATTTAATTTATTTTCTTATATTTATTCACTGTACAGCCGATCGTAGCCCCTTCCTTTATCACATCCTGGTCTCACCCTCCCTTCCTCTTCGCGCCCCTTCTCTAGTCCTGTTCCCCTACCAACTGACCCCAGCCTATCAAGTCTCATCAGGACTGCCTGCATCCTCTTCCTCTGGCCTGGCAAGGCCACTCCCATCAGAGGGAAGCGATCAAGGATCAGGCAACTGAGTCCATGCCAGGAAACTTGAGTTTTTATGTTTATATGACAGATACTTTACCCATTGAGCTCTCCGAGCCCTGAATTTATTTTAATGGTATCTTCATGTATGGCCTTCTCTGGAAAGGCTGGGCCATTTGCTAACAGTTTGCTTCTGTTGAATTTATGGAGTAGAGTTTCATGTTGTTTGAGACTTGGTCTTCCTCTTTTGTTAAATAAGGTCAGCAAACCTTAAGTGGTTTGAAGGGCAGAGTAAGATTCTCTACCCCCTCAGCCTTTTCTATTGTGATCAGAAAGATGGCTTGGAACAGTGTAGGCCTCCTCCATGTCCCCACCCTCTGAGAGTACACTCTGATCCAGTTGATTGAGCTTTTGCTCCTTCTTGCTTTCTTTTTCTCTTCTTTCTTTCTTTCTTTTTTTTTTTTTTTTTTTTTTTGGTTCTGAGATGGGTTCTCCATGTAGCCCTGGCTGTTCTGAAACTCTCTATGCAGACTAGCCTGGCTTTGAACTCACATCTGCCTGTTTGCCTCCTGAATGCTAGGGTTAAAGGTATGAACCACACCAGGCTTGTTTTTGTTTTTTAGATACTGTAGGCCAGGATGAAAATAACGGAGGGAGGCAATTTCTTCCCTGTGAAAAGATGTGCCAGGCTTCAGACTGAGCTAGCAAACACTCATATGACCAAGATGGCCTCTTGTCATTTATCCCTAACACAGGGGTTATTTGGCTGATCCTCTGTGGCTGAGTTTAACTTCTTAGTCTACTTGGATTAGTGGGAAAAGAGCAAAGGGACTGGGGAGACAGGACATGAGGAAAAGCAGGCACAGTCATTAAATCTATTTGTAAGAAAAGATAGAATTTCTCAGAACATCCTCTTTTTATTATGGATTTTTTTTTTTAACTCAGTGAGATAAGACTTTCTGAAGTCTTCTAGGAGTAGTCCCTAGACAAGAATTTGTAATTATTATTTTATGTGTATGACTGTTTATGCTTTGCATCATGTGCATGGTATCTGCAGAGGATGGAAGAGTTGTGTTGGATCTCTGGAACTTAGAGTTAACAGATGCGTCTGAGCCCAGGGAAGAACAGCCAGGACTAGTAATGGCTCAGCCATCTCTCCAGGCTTTTGACCAGTCTCTTGAAGGAGTTTCTTTTAATAGTCCTCTACTACTATTCTAGCATCCCTCTACTCCAAGAAGTAGCCCTAGAATCATTTAGGAGCCATGTCAGAGATCAGGGCACCTAAAATACTTGGGGCATTTCTAGAACGTCAAGGAGGAGACTTTAAGGAGCCCCAAAACATTTATGGCTTTTAGAGAGAAACTTGATACTTTATTTGTGGTCTATTTATCCTAAATTGCCTGGCCAAATTTTATCTCCTGTTTTTATCATATCCTTCTAAAGAGTTAATCCTAACTGCTGTTATGAAATGCCTTCCAGGTGAATGGTGTTGTTGGGAGTGGCTGTGAGAAGTTGGTCAAATCCCGATGATAGCCAGGATAACTGAAGTAGGAAACAGGTGACTCAAAGGCAGATGAGGACTTAAGTGCAGTTTGCAGAACAAGGCTCAGTTGAATTTATTTTTGTAGCTCCTTTGACACAAAGTTACAGAGTTTCCAGTTCAGCAAGAATCCTGCTTCACAGGGCAGCAAATTCAAGGTTCTGTAAAGCACAACAGCGCCTACCTACAGCACTATTTGTTTTCAGAAAAACACCTTAGGTATGGGAGTATTGTTTATCCTAACTATTTTCTAGAAGTTGAGGAAAGTGCTTCCTATGTTCCTTCTCAGTAGATCTCACATAACCTTAATTCAGACCCTAACAGTGGCAGTCAGGGTACCCCGACAGTGGGCCTGCCTCAGAGACCTCAGAAGTGCTTTGGAGTTTGACTTGTGTAACAGCCAGGTGTAAGGAGGAAGGAAGTTCTTGACTGATGCCTGAGGAAGGTTAGAAGGGAGGAGGGAAAACAAGAGTGATAGTGTCAGCAGGCCAAACAGGGATCCAGGAGGAGCCAGGCAGATTTACACAAATAAGTGTTTTGCCTGTTTGCATGTATGTGCCCAAGGAAGCATGCCTGTGCCCAAGGAAGTCAGAATTGGTTATTGGATAGATCCCTGCAACTTGGTTAGGGGTGGTGCAAGAGAACCCAGTGATCTAAACTGCTGAGCCTTCTTTCCTGCTCCCTATTAGAATCTCTTGATGGGCTCAGAGTAACCTCACCAACCATTGCTTCTGTTTTTTCTGTGGTCCCTGAGGTGATCTCTAGAGTGATGAACTCAAGATAGGCTTTCAGGCACTTTGATGGCTGTGGAGGGGTTAGAACCGTGTGATGTTCCTCCCAGATGACTTCTAGGGAGGGAAAGGTAAGAAGTTTAGCCATCATCTAATGTTCAGGTTAAAAGAATAGACCTGTCTCTCTTGGTGCTGTAGGTAGGTGCTTCTGTGAGCCAAGGTCTGAAGTCTTATACCTGGACAGCATTTCTTTTTCTTTCCTTTCTTTGTTTCTTCTTTTTGTTCTTGTTCTTCTGTTTGTTTGTTATTTGATGCAGGGTCACTATAGCACCCTGGCTGGTCTGGAATTTTGTGTAGACCAGGCTGACCTCAAGCTCACAGAGATCCACCTGTCTTTGCCTCCCACTGCTGGGATTAAAAAAAAATGTGTGCCATCGTGCCTGAACTCCTTTTTTCCTTTTTTTTTTTTTTTTTTTTTTTTTTTTTAAAATTAGTTTAGGATCTGGTTTTCAAGGGTCATGGGTCCTGAGAAGAACTTCTGGCTCCTCCAGCCTTCCTTTTACCAATTAATTGTTCATCTGTGTGAGGACAAGTCAAAGGCATTGACTATGCTGTGCTTGGAAATATGGAGGAAATGTTTCCTCCATATTGACCATGTTTGTGGATTGGATTTTGATTAGAATTCACTGATTGTGTTTGTTGTGTGTGGGTGTGTGTCTGTGTCTGTCTGTCTGGACCTTCATGAACAAAAAAACAGATGACTTTTTATAGTTAAAGGACAATTTGAGAGATGCCCCACAGTCCTCCAGGATCTAGCTGATTATGCAGGTCAGGGGAGGGTATTTATTATCCCTCTGACCACATCAGTTGTAGCCTTCTGGTTAGGTTATTGAACTCACCCAGGAGGTCAGTTTTACCAGTTTGTTACTTTAACTACCATGTGATATTTAGGTAAAGCTGGGGCAATACATGAAACATTTTTTTTTTTAATTTTTTAAATTTTATTTTTGAGACAAGGTCTCACTGTGCAATCCTGGCTGGCCTGGAACTTGTTGTCTAGACCAGACTGAACTCAAATGAAGAGATCCTCTACTTCCCTGTTACTTGATTATGCCCTGCTTTCTGATCTGGTTTTTTCCTGAGATAACATGGTTTTCTTCAAAAAAGAACAGAAGAAGTTTGGAGCAGGGGTTTCAAATAGGGCCTGCAAGGATGAGGCATTGTAGGCTGGGTGCATCTGACTGGCCTTTGGGTCCTTTGCTGTTCTTGACCTAATTGAACGCATGTTCCAGAATCCAGGGTGACCAGGATATCTTTCCAGCAGGAGACCACTGCCTGAGCTGTGAAGATGTCCACTCCAGACCCACCCCTGGGTGGGACTCCTCGGCCTGGCCCTTCTCCAGGCCCTGGTCCTTCACCTGGTGCAATGCTGGGCCCTAGCCCTGGTCCCTCACCAGGTTCTGCTCACAGCATGATGGGGCCCAGCCCGGGACCTCCTTCGACAGGACACCCCATGCCTACCCAGGGGCCTGGAGGATACCCTCAGGACAACATGCACCAGATGCACAAGGTAGGCATTCTGTGCTTTCACTCCTGTACTCTGTTCCTGAGACTTGCTTCAGCCTGGGACCTTGGTGTCTCATAAAAGGCTGCAGAAGCCCCCCGTAGGCTAGAGGAGAGAGGTCTTTGTGGAAGTGACTTGGCTTGGTTCAGATTCCTTCTTTAAGATGTACTGCTTTGAACAAAGGATCAATTTGTCCTGAGCCAGGAGGCTGAGCAGCCACCCCATTCTATATTTCCCATACTTCTTGTTTGGGAATGGTGTGCCAAAGCTTTCTTTTGTTAATAAGGGAATTCCTAAATTCCTCCAAAGAGGCTTCTCCTCTGGCTGTGCTGGGAGCCTGCATACTTGAAACAGTGGGGAGTATTCAGTCTGCTCCTGAACTTGTACTCCGGACCACTGCCATCTTTCTACTTGGGGAATGTGTCAGCATTGCTTTTGCCAGCAAAGCTGCCAAATAGCTCTCCTGACCTGAGGCCTTGATCTTCCTCTTAGGGCTGGCCTGGGAGTAGTGTCAGCATTTGTCTGGGCACACGGAGTGCAGTAGGCTTCAGGATAGTGGCCTCGTCAGCTGTTCCTCTTTCCTGCAGGGTTATCCCTGTGTTGCTTCCTACCCCTGCAGGCTTCCAAGTTTGTGGATGTTCCCCATCCACAAATTAGGAAGGCCCTTACATGCCTGTCTCATCCCTCTCTCTGCTTGTCCTTGTGCACCAACTGTGTTCTGTTTCTGAGACAGCCCCTTCTCTGGCTCCCTAGTTCCTGGACTGTTCTGTCATCTTAGTTTAGCATTTTTCTTGCCCTTTTCCTCCTATGAAGGAAGCTGTGGGTTACATGTGTGCACCCACCTTCTGGTTTACAGACTTCTCCAGTGAGCATGTTAGCTACATCCCCTCTACCTGTTTCCTTCTAACATTGCTTACACATTGTACCACCTCTGACAGGTGCCTGTGGATACCTACATGTATCTAGAAACCTGCTAGGTTACTGGAGTTTGGCTGACAGCACCTCACCTACACAGAGCTCCTTCTATGCTGGAGACAAGCTCTTGCTCAGCATGAATATTCTTGGGGAGCCTGCATACACCTGTAGCCATACAGGAAGCTGCCCCCATGTCCCTGTCACAGCTTCCTTTGTTAAAGCTGTACTGAGCTGTGACTTTGGTGTCTCTCTGCTTCATGACATGTTGGCCCGGGAGGGTTTTTTGTTTTGTTTTGTAGAACAGGCTTCTTGATAACCAGGCCAGGTTAGGAGATGCCTCTCTGAATAGCCACTCTAGCCATTGCCCTCGGAGGCATACCTACTCCCAAGGGTGCCACGTGTCAGCCTCTCCACATCCTGCTAACATTGCTCTGGCTCAGTGCTGGGACTGAGAGGCACTGAGGACAGTAGCCATATTTTCACTGTCTTGTCTCTATGCAGGCCTTTGTGCATGTCCATTTGATTTGCAGTCTCCAAGGATGAGGACTTAAGCCCTAGGTTTGTGCCCAGTCTTTTTGACACAGGCCACAAGTGGCCAGAAAATCCCTGCTGCGATATGTGGTCCTTTCCTTGTGGGTTCTCACTGACAGTTCCATGTCTCCCCTGCCTAAGTAGTCACTTCTCCAGTAGCTTGATTTTGAATCTCTGTCTTGACACCCAGAAGTTGTGTTGACTGCCTCAGAACTAGTTTTGGGTGGACCACTGTGTGGTCTTCTTCCTCATGGTACTTTGCTCAGCTGCATCTTGCTGTCCTTGGCTGACCTATGACCTTGTCTGTCTCACAGCCTATGGAGTCCATGCACGAGAAGGGCATGCCTGATGACCCACGATACAACCAGATGAAAGGTATGGGCATGCGGTCAGGGGCCCACACAGGCATGGGACCTCCGCCTAGTCCCATGGATCAGCATTCCCAAGGTACAGTCCGGGTCACTTTCTGTCTTATGTTCATATGCCTGGAGCCCAGAATCTGCTTTTCTTAGCGGGGATTTCAAGGGCAGCTAGGACAACTGAGCTGTGGGGAGGCATCACTGGTAAGGTGTGGCTAGTGCTCAGTACAGCCTCTTGTCTTGGAGCAGCCCTCGAAGACTGAACAGGTGGGACAGAGCTAGATGGTTGATCAGAATGGTGTTTAAGGTCAGGGCCTCGCATGGTGGGGCCTGAGGGCCAGCAACTCCGGTGGTGCCCTAGGACCCTGCCTTAGGCGAGTTGATTTTTCTACATGGGGATGATTGATGTAGTAGATGAGTTGTGGAGTCGTCCTTGTCATGATGGGCAGTAAGCAAGGTCCTGGGTCTTCACAGAAATGACAGTGGAGAAACTGGCCTTATGGAGCCTAGTTTGCAAGTCTTACCTTTTGTACCATACTGAAACTTGTACCCAAGCTCATGGCCACATTTGGGCTGAGGCTGCGACTCAGCCACCTCCCTCTGGGTACTTCTTGTTTAACTTAGGAGAATGATGTTGCCTCATTACCTGTCTGGGATGCCAGGTGGTGTGGATATGATTTGGCAGTGATAGATGGATGCTGCTGAGTGACTACTGAACTAGTTTTTCCCTGCAGGTTACCCCTCACCCCTGGGTGGCTCTGAACATGCCTCCAGTCCTGTCCCAGCCAGCGGCCCATCTTCAGGCCCCCAGATGTCCTCTGGGCCAGGAGGAGCCCCACTGGATGGTTCTGACCCCCAGGCCTTGGGGCAGCAAAACCGAGGCCCAACCCCATTTAACCAGAACCAGCTGCATCAACTCAGAGCTCAGATAATGGCCTACAAGATGTTGGCCAGGGGCCAGCCATTGCCCGACCACCTGCAGATGGCCGTGCAAGGCAAGCGTCCAATGCCTGGAATGCAGCAGCAGATGCCAACACTACCTCCACCCTCAGTGTCTGCCACAGGACCTGGGCCTGGCCCTGGCCCTGGCCCTGGCCCAGGTCCAGGACCAGCCCCTCCAAATTACAGTAGGCCCCATGGTAAGGCCCTGGAGTGGGGAGGATGCTTAATGTGGGTGATAGTGTCAGGCAGTCCTGGCTCCCAGCTAGTGGTACTTATGACTGCTGAGATGGGCAGGGCTATATCTAGATAAATGCTCTCTGGCCTTATTGTGGTGGGTGGCTCTGTTCCCTGAGCTGATTTTAGTGTAGGCTAGCAAGTTTGAACCCAGAGGCATTTATGGTACTTTGTTTTCTTGAATGTAGGTATGGGAGGGCCCAACATGCCTCCCCCAGGACCCTCAGGTGTACCCCCCGGGATGCCTGGTCAGCCCCCTGGAGGGGGGCCCAAGCCATGGCCTGAAGGTAATTTCTTTTATATTGGTGGCATGCACAACTCTTATCATGAGCCTGAGGTATGCCCGAGCTATAGTTTTTCACCCCAGAATCCTTGGGCTTTTCTGTGGATTTCTCTGGGATTCAGCTGGGGACTGCAGAGTCCTCCTTGTCCTGTGGGTAGGGATTGTCCTACAGTTTCCTTACACTAATCAGCAATGGAGGAAGGCAGCGGATTTGTCTACTATGGGACTCAAGGAGATGGCTGGCTATAGCAGTGACCACAGACAAGCTTGCTCAGCACAAGGTGCTTCTGAGCTTGGAGGAACTCCCCACCACCCCCACCCCAGTGAAGGCAAGTAGGGGGCAAAACAGTTCAGTATCCTGTCAAGTCTGCTGACGCTTCAGCCAAGGCCCTGCCCTCTCAGAGGTGACTGGAAGGTTTAGTTGGATATTTCAAGGTCTACATTTGGGTTGGGACAGTGGATCCTTCCTGTCCTCTTGGGATCTGCGGTGGATCATTGTATATTGAAATCTGCTTTGTTTGGATATGGAATACAGTCAGGCCCTTCATCAGAGAGCATCAATCCTTCAGTGGATCCTTAACATGCAGATAAAAGCAAAACCCTTGCATACTGCATGTTTTCTTCACACACTACCTGTCATCGATGAAGTTTTGTACATCAGAGTAACAAGAGCTTATGGTGAAATATATCAGTGAAGATAGAGTAAGCAGGAACATGGCTCAGGACAGTGTACACTGAACTTGCACTTGTGATGCTACTGTAAGGAAGCAGTTGATGACACAGAAGTAGAACTTGGGTGTAGCTATTCAGAGCAGCACACAGTTGAAACTTAGTAATCGTTTGTTCCTGGAATTTTCCATTAATATTTTTAGACTGCCATTGATCAAGGGTATTTGAAATGGCAGAGATGAGTCTGCTAAAGGGGAGGGGTGAACTGCTGTAGAGGAAAGACAGGGCCATGCTGTCGCTGTGAAGCCTGGCACAGAAAGACCACACTCTGTGTGTTAAGGCTGAGCTGGAGGGTGAAAGTGTCTGGGTTCTATCCTAGGGGAGAGGTGGGAGGGATGGAAGGACAGTCCTGTGGGCCCCAAGGTCAAGCAGCATATTCCGCTTGCCTCCCCAGGACCCATGGCCAATGCTGCTGCCCCCACAAGCACCCCACAGAAGCTGATTCCCCCACAACCAACAGGCCGCCCTTCACCTGCACCTCCTGCCGTCCCACCTGCTGCCTCACCTGTAATGCCACCACAAACACAATCCCCAGGGCAGCCAGCCCAGCCTGCTCCATTGGTGCCACTGCACCAGAAGCAGAGTCGCATCACCCCCATCCAGAAGCCCCGGGGTCTGGACCCTGTGGAGATCCTACAGGAACGGGAGTACAGGTGAGCACCCTAGTGCTGCACTGCCAGTGTTGATTGCCAGGTACAGGGGAATGTTCTCCCACCTTCCTTAGGCCCGTTCCAGAGCAGAGCCTTTGCACAGGCTGCCGCACATCTTCTCCACCAGGCCTCGCTGCTGAGGTGCCTGGTCCTGCATCCTTTCTGCCTTGCACTTGGTACTCTGGCATTGCTGCCAGTGCGTACTGCTTTATCCCTTTACACCCATTCTTCTAATGGGACTGTGACACACAAGAGACCAGGCAACTTTTTTGGCCCCTATTCACTGCTAAGACTCCATATAAGAAACTACCCTGGCACAGAATAGGTGCTCCATAAAATAAGCATAGGAAGATAAAATGGAGAACTTTTCCCACATAGGGTTACTGAGAGGGGGTGATATCATCTTAACCTGTAGACAAAATGTTAATGTCCATGGCATATGTAGATTTCCACAGCCCTGTGTCTCATGCTGAGGCTGCGCTGCCTGATGCCACAGGCCAGCACTCATTGCCCACATGGGGTTAGCACCTAGCCAAGTCACTGTTCTAGTTTGTTTTTCTTTGCTGTTCTAAAACACCTAATAAAGTGGCTTAGAGAGGAAAGGGTTTTTCTCCTCCTAGATTTCGAGGTAACAGTCTATTACTGAGGGAAGTCAGGGCAGGAACTCAAGCAGGACCTGAAGCAGAGACTGGAGGAGTACTGCTTGCTGTCTTGTCCTCCAGCTCATGCTTAGCTAGCTTTCTTCTATAGTTGAGACCTACCTTCCTAAGAATCATGCTGCTAGGGCAAGGCGTGGTGGCCCATGCCTTTGATTCCAGATCTCAGGAGGCAGAGGCAGAGTTCAAGGCCAGCCTGGTCTACAGAGTGAGTTTCAGGACAGCCGAGGCTACACAGAGAAACCCTGTATGGCAGAGTGTGCGGATCATGCTGTCATAGGGGTATGGCCATCTGATGAAGAAAATTTTGTAGTTTAGGTACCCTCTTCCAGGCTCTCAAAGTTGAGTCAGCTTGATGATGAAAACATCAAGTCGTGGGCTTCCTGTGGTCCCTGCAGGCCTGTTCTCAGGAGCACTCTGAGGCTGCTTTCCTCTGTTTTGTGTTGTAATTACAGTTCTTTTCTGAAGTGTTCCCTCTCAGCTGTGCTGGGTCTGTCTCTTTTGAGGGACAGGTTCTTTATAACTCTAGCTTTAAAGGCAGGTACCAGGTGACTTCTTGCAGACATCTGTCTTTTCTTGTCTCTGCCCAGGCTTCAGGCTCGAATTGCACACCGAATTCAGGAACTTGAAAACCTCCCTGGTTCCCTAGCTGGGGACCTTCGAACCAAAGCAACCATCGAACTCAAGGCCCTTAGGTTGCTGAACTTTCAGAGACAGGTGGGTTTGATGGCCTTACCTAAAGGCTCAGCCTTTGCTGCCAGTGGATTCTCAGAGTGCTTTGAGGATGTTATCTGGATCCCTGCATGGTTGGGCAGTCCAGACCCCAGGAGAGTTAGTTCAGTGTCCTGGCCCACACCGTGCCATGACCTGGATGTACATATTCTACGTATACACAGGTACCGGCTCCCGAGTTGCAGTTGGCAGCTGAAAGGCAGGAGTCCTGATGAGCTCCCTCCTGAGGGTGCTGTGCTCTGACACGTCTCCTCAGGAACTGTGTGTGTGGCTGTAGACATGTCCAGATCTTTCACATTCTGCTCTGTGCTTGCCCACCTCTGGTGCCTCCCAAGTGTCCTGTGCATTCCAGGCAGTTTATCGCAGTATCATCTGCCCAGCGTGTGAGCCTCTCCACAGACATCACAAACCCATTGTGCCTAATGCCAGTTCTCATTTTCCGCTCTAAAGCTGCGCCAGGAGGTGGTGGTGTGCATGCGCAGAGACACAGCCCTAGAGACAGCCCTCAATGCCAAGGCCTATAAGCGCAGCAAACGACAGTCACTGCGGGAAGCCCGCATCACCGAGAAGCTGGAGAAGCAGCAGAAGATTGAACAGGAGCGCAAGCGCCGCCAGAAGCACCAGGTGCGTTCACCCTGCAAGGTATACTCTGTTGCTCAGTCGCCCTGTGTGTAGCGCAGCCAGACAGTGACTTGGGCACAGCAGTGTGCCAGTACACAGGCCAAGAGAAGATGAGCAATGATCACACTGGGCAGTTAAGAGGTGGGAAAACAAGAGTAGGGCTCAAGAAGGAGCCATGTCAGGCAGAAGGGCTTGGTTACTGATTCATAGTTTGTACATTTTTATACAATGACTGTTTATTCCAGGATGTGGTATAGGTTTGTAATCTTACGTTCATAGACTAAGGCAGAAATATTGCAGTTTCAAGGGCAGCCTGAGCCCAGGGTAGTTCACTGATACAAGTGCTTGCCCACCACACAGCCATAAGTTCAATTTCCAGTACCACACACAAGAAAATTTAAGAAGTCAGTGCTCAACGTTAATCATGGTTAACATTTTGGTATTCATTATTTTATCCTGTTTGTTTGTTTGTTTGTTTGTTTGTTTGTTTGTTTAGGAGGCAGGGTGTCTCTGTGCAGCCTTGGCTGTGCTGGACTCACTCTGTACACCAGGCACTCCACCTGCCTCTGCTTCCTGAGCGCTGGGATTAAAGGCATGCGCCACCACACTGGGCTCCCCCCCCCCATCTCTCCCTACTTCCTTCCCTTCCTCCAGCCCTTTCTTCCTTCCATCTTCTTTTTGTATGTAAAGTTAAATACCTGAGCTATTGGAATGGCTCAGTGGGTGAACGATAGCTACCAACCATTTCATTGATTTATGCTTCATCTGTGGCATGTTTCCCAGCTTCTTGTAAATTTTGTCACTGTGTCTCTATTTGAGGCACAGACCATAGTTCCTTTTGCTTTCTTGGCAGGTTTTCACTCCTAGTCCAGGATAGGTTAGAACTCAGTGGTTCTCCTGCCTCTATCTCCCAAGTGCTAGGACTATAGGTGCGTACCACACTACACCTGGCCACGGGGCTAGTTTTTCACATTTCAGAATTAAAAATTGCCCTGGTAGGCCTGGAGTCACTGTGGTGCCCCTTCCTTGAAGGGGTACAGCTGAGCAAAGGGTAGGAAGCATGTTTAGAACTTGATTGACAGGGTCAAGTTGCCTTTGGCAAGAGATTCCTTGAGCCAGGTGCAGTGGCGCACACCTTTGATCCCAGCACCAGGAGGCAGAGGCAGGTGAATCTGAGGCTAGTCTGGTCCACATAGTGAGTTCCAGGACAGCCAGGGCTGTGAGACCCTGTCTCCAACTCCTCCCTCACAAAAAGAGAGCTTCACTTGGTGTACCCACATGTTGTGTCCAACGTCCCCTGTGTTTGCACAGGGGCCAGCAGCAAATTTTGTCATAAGTAGAGCTGACATGGTGGCCTTATTATGTGGACCCCCCCCTTTTTTTGTTGTTCCATATATGCTAGGGAAGTGCTCTGCCACTGAGCCAGTCGAGATGCTCCTTTGTCTTTAAACAAGCTTCCTAGCCCTCCACCATGTCTCTGCAGGAGTACCTCAACAGCATCCTACAGCATGCCAAGGACTTCAGGGAGTATCACAGATCCGTCACAGGCAAACTCCAGAAACTCACCAAGGCTGTGGCCACCTACCATGCCAACACCGAGCGGGAACAGAAGAAAGAAAACGAGCGCATTGAGAAGGAGCGAATGCGGAGGCTTATGGTATACACCAGTTTTCTTGCTCTTGGTCCCTTTCGTGCCCTGGGTATGGCAAGTGCTGGATTATTCACCTCAGGATTATACCTAGATGCTCTGTTGATTGGCTTAGAAGTAGAGCTGAAGGAAGAGCCACATGGATTTGTGAGGCAGAGGTCTGGGCCTTCACCTTCATTCCGTCTGGCTGTTAGTACAGGGTAGCTCTGAGTTCTCTGACTGCCTCCTGCTCTGGGTATTATGAAAGCCACAGAAGGTACAATGAAGAAGGCTCTACCCGAATGAGTCCAGCTGACATTTCATCATGGTAGAGCTGCTAATTGGACAGACACTGTTACCTGTTCTGGGTTTGCCCCTTGCATGTATACTGGGGACATACGAGGGAGCAGAATAATCCCTATCTTCATGGGGCTCATGTTTGTTCTTGAAGGCACAAAAGAGATATCATATTGTTGGATAGAAACAGTAAGTCAGGGCTAGGGCTGCGCAGCTGTGAGATGGACTTGGAGTAGAAGCTGAGGGGTGGGAACAGTGCACAGTGCAGAGCACTGTGGGGTAGAAGAAAGCCGAAGAAGGAGAGGAGAAGGGCAGGGTAGCAGGACATCAGACACAATGGACAGCCAGTGGCCTCTGGGGCCCTAGATCCTCATGCTGCTAGAACAGGACACTGGGTCCGAGAACTTGAAAAGTTGGATCATTTGGGCCTTCGCTGGCCATCAAGAGAGAACTAGATTACTGAAGGAATGCCCAGGGAAAGTTTTTGCTGTGTAGTGTTTTGTTGTATTTGAGACAGGGTTTCATTATAACCCTGGCTAATCTCTATATAAACCAGGCTGTAGTTACAATTCTGGAATTTTGGTTTCTTTAAAATAACAGAAATACTATGTTTTCATTGTAATTCCTGTTGTGGGGATATGGGGCTGCCTTGTGCTATAGCAGAATCGTGGTTTTTCCAGCTGCAGATAGTTTCTATGACTGGGTGATATTTGGAATTCTGGGAACTTTGCAGAAGGTTTATAAATGCTAGAGCACCGTTAGGTGGGTTGGTTGCATTTTCTTAGTAGTCAAAGAAGAAACAAGAAGGACGAAATTAGATTCAGGGATCTCTTTCTCCTATCTACTGGTGGGGGTGAAAGGGGGTTGTCGCTTTGCATTCTGCTGCCAGGTGCCGCACTGGAAGTGTAGGATCCCCTTTTGCGTGGGAACAGAGGAACTTTGGCAGTAAAGGTTCCACTTCTCTCAGGATCTGTTAGAGCCATCAGAGCGAGGCCTATGCTCAAGACTCCGGATCTCACCTGGGATGTGGAAGAGAGTTTCCCACTTTGTTACAATTAGCTCTCCTTAATGAAATTGCTGGTACGAGATGCCAATGGAAACTTGGACATTCCAAAGCCAGTGATGATACCACAGTATTAAAGCCCTTTGGATAAGTTGCCATGCTAATGTCTGAGGATGCTGACAGACACCTGAAACTGGCCTAAAGACAGGCCCAGCCACTGCTTCATCAGTCAGTGGCTCGCTTCCTCTTCAGCAGTGATTCTCTCTCTCCTCTACCTTCTTTCTCTCCTGTGTAGTGAAAGGGTTGAAACAGAGGAGTGGGGGATAATAAAGAGTAGGAAAAAGAACTCAGAAAGCAGCAAGTCCAACTACACCATGCTGTGCTTGAACTGAGGTTCACATGCTGCTGCCTCCTAATGCTGGGATTACGGGCATACATGACAATGCGCAGCTCCAGCTCTTCTTTGTTCATATATATATATGTATGTATGTATGTATGTATGTATTTGTTCATATAGGGGTAAAGGCTGAGATTCTTGGAGATGGGCCTAGATCAGGTAGAAAGGAGTGTGTTGGGGATGGGGAGTTGAGATTTGTGGTGATAGGGCCCAGATCAGGTAGGAAAGTTGGGATTTGTAATGTTTTTTTTAGAGAGGGAGTCTAACTCACTTACAGTTATTATTTTTTTGTTTGTTTATTGTTTTTTTCAAGACATGGTTGTTTTGTGTAGCCTTGATTTTCCTGGAACTCGCTTTGTAGACCAGGCTTGGCTCAGACTCACAGAGATCTGCCTGCCTTTGCCTCCTGAGTGCTAGTATTAAAGGCTTCTGCCACCACTGCCCAGCTAGAACTCACTTATGCCCTCTCTGAGTGGCTCATGGCAAGACCTGTGTCCCTTGGCAGTTTTCTCAAGGATCAGCATGGGGCTGGGGGCTGGGGGCTGTGGTAGCACTCACAGGCTTGTGTTTTACCCTGCTTTGGTTTTACAGGCAGAAGATGAGGAGGGCTACCGCAAGCTCATTGACCAGAAGAAGGACAAGCGCCTGGCCTACCTACTACAGCAGACAGACGAGTATGTGGCCAACCTCACAGAGCTGGTGCGGCAGCACAAAGCTGCCCAGGTTGCCAAGGAGAAGAAGAAAAAAAAGAAAAAGAAGGTTCGCTGTGTTGTTTGTTTGTTGGCCTTCCTGATCAGATGCGAAGGTATCCAGGAAACTCCAAGGCCTAGGAAGGTATTCCAGCTTTGAGGTGGGACAGTGTCCCAAGGCTGTTCTGAGACAAGGGAGCCCAGGACCACATAGCTCTGAGAGGAGGCCTCTTTAACAGAGATGTTGTATCTTCCAGGGGAAGATACTTGCTCAATCCTTGAGCAGCTGAGGAGCTTAGGAGCCTCAGTCTTGCTCCTTCCTCAGTTGTTGCATCTCCAGGGAAGGGTTGTTCCAACCTCTGAGGAGCTGGGGAGTCTAGGAGCCTGAGCCTAGCTCCTTCTTCACTTTTTCTCTTCTTCATTGCCACAGCACCAAGCAGTAAATTTCTTTTTTCTTTCTTTCTTTCTCTCTCTCTCTCTCTCTCTCTCTCTCTCTCTCTCTTTCTTCTTCTCTTTCCCTCTCTCTTTCTCTTTCTGAGATGGTTTCTCTGTGTAACCTTGACTTTCCTGGACTCACTTTGTAGACCATGTTGGCCTTGAACTCACAGAGATCCACATGCCTCTGCCTCCCAGAGTGCACCACTACGCCCAGCTTGTTAGTAAATTTCTTAGAAGAGATTGATTAGCAAAGGTGGATGCCTTTAAATCCCAGCACTTGGGAGGCAGGTGGCTCTTTGTGAGGAGGCCAGCCTGGTCTACAGACTGAGTCCAGGACAGCCAGGACTGCACAGAGAAACCCTGTCTCGAAAAACCAAAATGGACCAATGTAGGAGAGGAGGGATGAATCCAGGAGTGGCTGCCTGTGTTCCCAGGAGGTGACAGCAGGGAATTGGGCAGATACAACCTTTATATAGTATTTCTTAGGGGATGAGGTGCTTTCTTTCTAGGGCAGGGGTTTCCAGAGTGAGGATTGGTGGGATTTTAAGTCTTAAGCTTGGGGAAGCTCAGGGATTGGTGGGTTTTTGTGGGAAGCTCAGGGATTATTCAGTTCTCAGGGTTTTTGTCCAGACTTTTCAACTCAGATTAGCATAATTTGGGAGGAGTTCTACTCATGGGCTGGAGATGGGGGAGGAGCTGGGCTGCTGGAGCTTTCTCAGGCCACTTTTCTGTCTTGAGGGGTTGTAAAATTTACCAGGAGTCCAATACTTAGAGTCCATTGTGAAGGCAGTAGACCGAAGCAGGAGAGGGTGTTGTCATGTAGATCACTCACCATGGCTGCTGTAGACATTCTGAGGCAGGAAAGGTGTCTGTTCCCATAGCAGTAGGCTGAGGCAGGAATAGTCAGCATGGGCAGTTCCTGTTGCAGTGCTGACTAGAGCAGACACTTTCCTGTCTCCACAGCTCCAGGGAAGGAAGAAGGGACTGGCAGCACACCATTTGAAATTTTAGTGGGCCTTTGCTCAAGGGCTGGACATAGCTCTTGGTTTGGGGGGTGGGGTGGGCAGTGTACTTAGGGCTGGTGTGGGATGCAATGGGTTGGTCAGATTCGCTGACAGAGGCTGTCTCCGTGACAGCTGTGGCTGCTGCAGCAGGGTGGCTGTTGCTGACCAGCGGCTCTCTTCACTGTGGCAGGCCTACATGTTGGGCCTGACTAGGCACAGGCATCCCTTGAAGGTGGCCTGGAATTGTAGGGTCAGGCTGACTTTGTCTCTTTTTTATTTGCAGAAGGCAGAAAATGCTGAAGGTCAGACACCTGCCATTGGACCAGATGGTGAGGTGAGAAGTGGGACTTTCTTACAGAAATGCTAGCCAGCCTGGGATATTTGTCTTTTCATTTTGTTTCTTTAAAAATGTTTTAAGTCACATTTTTATTTAGTGGGGACAGGTAGTGTAGGCTTTCTTCTTCCTTGTGAGATCCTGGGATGGAATTCACAAATGTAGTCAGGTGTTTGAGTCAAGCACCTTAGCCACTGAATCATTTTTGCTGGCCCAGGGCTGACCTTGAACTTCTTGCTTCCACCTCCCATTTCGGGATTACAGCTGTGGGCACTATGCCTGGCTTGTGCCTTTTTTTTTTTTTCCTTTGGTTTTTTTTGAGATAGAATTTCTCTGTGTAGCCTTGGCTATTCTGGACTCAAACTCACAGTGATCCCCCTGCCTCTGCCTCCCTGAGTGCTGGAATTAAAGGTGTGCATGACCACACCTGGCTCCACTTTTTTTTTAATACTTAAAGATTTTTTATTTAATTTTACTTCTGTGTGTTTGTATACACACCTTCACAAATGTGCATCAGGCATTTCCTAGGAAGCTTGGACTGCAGGCATGTGTTGGCATTAGTTTTTTTAAACTCTTTATGGTTTGTCTAGTTCTAGAACACACAGAACATCCATTCTGAGTCCTTGTCCAGTACTCCTGTTAGGAAGTGTTTCAGGAAGATGTCAGCTTTTGTTTTCAGATCTTTGATTGGGGAGCATGCTTTGAAAGTGGGTTTTTTTTTTTTTTTTTGGTCTTGACTCTTCCCTTGTGCCTTCCTTTTGATTTCTGTTTTTCATTCAGTTCACTCATATGCTTAGTATGTAGTTCCAAAAAGCAGGCAGTGGGGATGCTAGCTACACTTTTTTCACTTCCTCAAGACAGGTAGTGTCATTTACTGTACCTCTGGTGTGTGTATGTTGGGGGGGGCGGTGGTGGCTGGCTATGAATCTCACCCGTACATAGTGCATTGTACATAGTGCATTGTGCATAGTAGGCAACCTGTCTACGAGTGAGCTACATTCCAGCACTCAGTGTAATTGTTTGGAGAAAAAAAGTATAAACTGAAAAATGAAACAACAAAACCCAGAAGGTAGTGATACTACCCATGCCTCTGAGTCTAGTATGTGTGAGGTCGAAAGTGAAAGATCACCATAAGATCAAGGCTAACTTGGGCTATACAGCAGTATTCTATTTTACGGAAGTATAAAAAATTGTGTGAAGGTAACCTCTCAGTCTTTCCCAGATAGAAGCCCTGCCTCATAACTGGGGTGTTGCCTCTCCTGGGTTTTTACTATTGTAGGCCCCAGGCTCTCTGCTAGTTTCCACCTGTCCTGGCATCTTTTCAAGTCAGGTCACATACATACCTCTTGTTCTGTCCACAGGCCCCTTGGGAAGTTGCTTCTTCCTACTTATTTGAAAGGCATGGGTTTGGTGGAAAAACTCAAAATCTTCTCTAGGCAAGCACGCTGATGGGCCCATGCAGACATGCAGGGCTTTCTGTGACCTTCACAGCCAACAGAGTTAGAAGCTGCAGTAAGCAAGAAGGGGAGTTTGGTTCAGTACAACTCAGTAGCCGATGTTGGTTCACACTTCAGGAGTCTGACCGGAGTGGTTTATTTTAGGCGTATTTAAGCACAGCACAGTTTGGTGAAAGCTGTTCTGGTGATAATTAACTCAGTCTCAAATGCTCAAACGAAGTGTGCATAAATCAGACATGACTGCTTCAAAACTATGAAGTCCATAAAGATGGGTCCTATAGATTGAGAAAAACAAATTTACGATATGGGTTGGGGGGAGGGCCCGATGTTGGAAAAGTCCTTAGTCACACGATAGCACAAAAGATCACCAAGCTTATGAGTGTTTGCTCCAGCCTTAGGGGCCAATAAGAAGTTTTTAAATTTCTTCCCTTGAAGGGACAACCCTGTGTGGGACATTCTAGGTTCATTTAGTGGTTCACAGCATTCCCAAAGCTTGACTCTTTTTGTGTTGTAGTGACCTCCAACCATAGAATTATTTTTGTTGCTACTTTGTAACTGTAATTTTGCTCCTGTTATAAATTGTGATGTAAAATCTGTTTTCTGGTGGTCTTAGGTGACCTCTGTAAAAGGGTTGTTTGAGCCCAGGATGAGAACTGCTGCACTAGTGCTTGTCTGTGACCACAAAGACGTTGGTGTCTCCTACACAGACACATTTGGATGCTTTCCATCCTTTGGTGTTTGCACAAGCTCTCTATGAAGATATAATACAAGAACCTTTTGTTGCACTGTGTTTTCATGTTTGCATTGGTGATGTCAGGCTAGTTTTAGGTCATTTGTCTATAGAAGCTGTTAGCTGCCTCACTGAGCACCTCTGCATGGCATTCATTTTTATATTCTTTTGGCTTTTCTGTTTTACACGTGTGCCTGTGTGTTTGCAGCTGTGTGTACATGTGTAGATTGAAAGGCAGCTTTGAGTATCATCCTAAGAAACCCTACCCAGTTCCTTTGAGACAGGGTTTCCTATTGACCTAGAGCTCAGCAGTTTGGCTGGACTTGCTGCCCTGTGAGTCAGCGTCCTAGTCATAGCATTGCAAGTGTGCTGCCCTGCCTGCCTTTTGCTGTGCATTCTGGGGCTCAGACTGAGGTGCTTAGGTGTGTGAGGCAGAGACGCTACTGACAAGCTGTCTGTTGAAGCTGCTGTCATGTTGGCCGGCTCATCTTGAAATCTGTTTGACCAGAGAGGACCTTTAATTCCCTGAACTTGTCTTTCACTCCAGGGTTATGGCAGTACAGGTGTGGATGAGCTATTATATTGCCCTTCCATTTTAATTTAAAATTTTCATTAATTAATTAGTCCTGTTGAGACAAGGTCTTACTGAGTAGCCATGGCTGGCGTGGATGAGACTCATTATATAGACTCAGCTGGCCTCAGACTAACAGAAATCTGCCTGCTTCTGCCTCTTGAGTGCTGGGATTAAAGGTGTGGGCCGCCGTGCCCTGACCTTTCTTTTTAAATTTAATTTAATATTTTTCTTAATATTTTTATTTCATGTGTATGAGTATTTTGTCTGTGTTTGTATCTGTGTACCGTATGTGTGCCTGGTTCCCCAGAGTCCAGAAATGATGTCATACCCCTGAGAACCGGAGTTATGGATGCTTGTGAGTTGCTATGTGGGTGCTGGGAACCGAACCTTGGTCTTCTGCAAGAACAAGTACTTTCAACTGCTGAGCCATCTCTTTGGTCCCTAACTGGCTTTTTAAGGTAGGGATTTCTGTGTAGCCTAGGCTCTCTTGTACCTCACTCTGTAGACCAGGGTGGCCTCATACTCAGAGAGATCCTTCTGTCTCTGCCTCACGAGTGCTGGGATTAATATAGACTCTTGTTATATAGCCTAGGCTATATGTGTAGCCAAAGCTGGCCCTGAACTCTCAAACCTCCTACCTTCCTCAGCTTCCTGAGTGCTAGGATAATAGACATGCCTCATGCCCAAGTCTACTGAATGTGTTTAACTCTTCATATTCTAGGCCTTTTGCTGTCTTTCGCCTTGTCCTTTGTTATGAGTAGATTGTGCCCTGTATTTTTTGATGTCTTGCTCAGCTCAGGCTGCAGTAGCTAAGTACTGCTGACTGGGGACATGAGCAGCATTCTGTACAGTTCTGGAGATGAACCAGCAAAATTAAGGTGCCAGCATGGTGGGTTCCTGGGAGAGGAGAGGACTCTCTTCCTGAGTTTTGGAGCCATCCCACTGGCTGTCTATGTTCTCATGGCAGGGAAAGGGAGAAAACAAAAAATGTGGCTGTCTCCTTTCCCTAGCTTTTTGTTTTTTGCCAGAAATGGAAGCTGGGGCTTTGCACACTCTTAAGCATGTGCTGTACAGCCAAGCTAACTTAAGTCCACAGACATCATCAGTTTTGCTTTCATTATGGCCCCGCGGGACTTATCTTGATCCTATTCTCTAAGGCAGGTGGTTCCCCAAGCATTTCAGGAAGGCCACTGCAGTGGCATTCTTGTTTCTGTAGGCTGGCCTCAAAGAAGCATACTACTGTGGCTCTTCTGGAAATGGCCATTCCAGGGGATTTTATTTGGGATGTTGTCTTAGGGTTTCAGTTGCTGTGATAAAACACCATAATCAGAAACATCTTGGAGAGGCAAAGGTTTTTTTCATTTCAGGTTACACATCACTGAGGGAAGTCAGGGCAGGAACTTGGGTAAAAGCAAGCGATACAAAGACTGTGGAGGAAGCCTACTTGCTTAACGTACCCAGGACCACCTGCTCAAGAGTGGCACCACACAGCGTGGGCTGGTCTTCCTATGTTAGTCATCAGTGCTGATACTGCTCTACAGGCATGCCCATAGGACATTCTTAGGGAGGCAGTTTCTCAGATGATTGTAGGTTCTAGTGTATGAACAAAACACTAACCAGCAGACATTCTCTTGAATTACTGTAAAAGAATATGGGTTGACATATTACAGCACAAAGCTACTGTGGGGGGGTTATAGTGTTTTGTTTTATTTTTATTGTTTGAGACAAAGTCTTACTGTCTAGCTCGGGCTGGCAACCTGCCTGTTTCAGCCTCTTGCCTAAGCTTCCAGACCACAAAGTGTGACCCATTGTGCCTAAAGCACAGAGCCACTTTTCTAGGCCATGTGGGGGCCTCAAGGTAGCAACCTTGCCTTAGAAAAGTAAGCTCTAGGGAATCATGCTGAGTCAGCACTATAGAATTTACTCTTCTAAGTTCATGATGTCAATGCCATTTGGTGCTTGTTTCCAGCCTCATATGTTTTTTAGTCATAGTTGTGTGGCTATGAAAAATTGAGATGGGCTGGAGAGATGGCTCAGCAGTTAAGAGCTTTCGATAGGTCCCAAGTTCAATTCCCAGCAACCACATGGTGGCTCACAACCATCAATACTGGAATTTGATGCTCTTGTCTGACATGCAGGCATACATGCGGACAGAGCACTCATACATAAAATAAATAAAATCTTTAAAAAAATTGTGGTGGTTAGCAGTTTGATTGGTTGTTGCAGCTTTGGCTTGGGTTTAATTCCCAGCACCCACATGGCTGCTCACAATTATCTGTAGTTCAAATTCCAGGGAATTTGAGCCTGGGGGGCTCCAGGCACATACATAGTAAACAAAAATGCATGTTAGCTAGAGAGAGAGAGAGAGAGAGAGAGAGAGAGAAGAGAGAACTGAGTCACCCCAGAGCAGTTTGATTCAATATATAGGGCACTGAAAATGTCAGACCTCAGCCCTTTAACCTTTCTAAAGTGATATGTTACATCACTACACCTCTTCTTCCCTCCTTGTTCTCTGACACTGTATAACTCAGACCAGCCTTCATCTTGTGATCTGCATTTGGGTCCAGGGTGGGAGTTGGAGAGTTTGGTTCATGACAGTCCCTCTCTTTCAGCCTCTGGATGAGACCAGCCAGATGAGCGACCTCCCAGTGAAAGTGATCCATGTGGAGAGTGGCAAGATCCTGACGGGCACAGATGCCCCAAAAGCCGGGCAGCTGGAAGCCTGGCTTGAGATGAACCCAGGGTGAGTTGGATGACTCCTTCATGGGACGTGGCAGCTGGGCGATGGGGGTTGGCCAAGTCCTACAGTAAAGCTGCTGCTTGCAGGGAGAGCTGTATCCAAACAGTGCTGTTTTTCCTAGGTATGAAGTAGCTCCCAGGTCAGATAGTGAAGAAAGTGGCTCCGAAGAGGAGGAGGAGGTAAGAGGCCACTTTATCTTTGCTGTTCATAGGCCTTCCACCTTGTTTGTTTCTGTCACCCTGGGGCTCTGCCCCTTGTGCCCTGTGTGCTGGCCAGGCATGGTGTGGCAGGGGCAGCTGAGGCCCTGGGCTTGTCTGGAAGTGGTGTTTCAGAGCTTTGTGGACTGTTTGTATTCAGGACAGTCCAGTTTTAGTCATTTCTTCAGTTGCACTGGCTACATTTCAAGCACTCAGCATCACTCCTCCGAATGCTCTGCTGCTTTTGCCCATTCTTCATCAGTGCTGTGATTTAACAGCCATGTGTGCGTCCCCATATAGATGGCAGCCACCCAGGGTTCTCTTGCTCATGCCTCTTGATGGCTCCTGCTCTCGCCCCTCTCTCCCTTGGCTATGTGTTTTCTTCCTCCCCACAGCGTTAGGCAATGGTATGCCATCTATTCCAGCTTTTCCCTGTTGAGTTGTTAGAAAGAGGACTTGTGGTGTCGATGTTCACTGGAGTCTTGAGGGCCACATGTCCACTTAAGAGTCCCTCAGTGTTAGGTGCATGTGTATACAACCTGTTTGTTTGTTTTAGATAAGATCTTGATATTTTGCACATTCTAGCTTGAAGTTCAGACATGCATTTATTCTGCCTTTCTGAATGCTAGTTTCAGGTGTGCACTACCATGCCCTACAGAGAACACCTTGTTCTTATTTAAACAGATTCGTTGTGGTCTAATTTACATAAACTGGAAACTGTAGTTGTTCCTTAGTTAACGTATGGCACTGTGGATCAGCCCCTCACACCAGTATTAGACTGTCTTAGTCAACCATAAAGCAACCTTTAAGCTGTCTATGGCTGTTTGTGCCCCACCCCTTGCTCCCAGAAAGCCATTTGGTATTTGTTTTTGTTTTTTTTTATTTCTTGTTGCATAGCCCAGGCTAGCTTCAAACTCACTATCCTCTAACTTGAGTCTCCCAAGTCCTGGGATTACAGCAGTGTGCCCAGCCTCCAGCTCATCACGCTGCTTTCCATCTCTCTAGATTAGCCATTTGTGGGCACCCTGCAAATGGAGTAGGAGCACCAATATGGAGCATGTTACTGAGGTTCATCCATGTGTTGTGTGTACCAAGAACTTGTTCTTTTTATTCTTGCTTTTTTTTTTCCAGTGTATAAATAGACCACATTTTATTTACCCATCTA